CGGGAGCTTTGTTCCCTCTGGGTTTTTTTTTTTTTTTTTTGGGTTCATTCTTTTGGTGTGTTTCTTTCTTCAGCAGCTCTAGGCGTGAGGGGCCTCCCTCGGCCGTCCAGAGCCGCCTTTGTTGTCGAGAATGCCCATTCGCCGTACCCCTTGGAGCATAACGTTTAAAAGGCTTGAGCCTGGCAGCTCCCCCTGACCTTTAAGCCAGGAGAGGGGGCAGGTTGGTTGTCACCGCGAGGAAGATGCTCTGGCACCCCAGCTTTGCCAGAAGAGTTGTTTTTTCCTTCATCTTAAGAATAATCTATTGGTTTTGAAAGCAACTTTTTTTCCCTGATTGCTGTTTAGAGGCCTAATTTTATATGTATTAAACAAGACAAGAACCAAATTAAACTTGGATGTTATCAAGTTAAAATTATTGTAAAAGTTTAAATATATATATATATTATATAAATGCAATAAATGAATTGAGAGAGAGACCCGGTGGTATACGGCCAGCATCTACGCTATTCCTTGCTCTTCTGCGACTGCCTCAGGCCTCGGAGACAAACTCTGCGTGTCTTCACTGTTCTGTTTGTCTCCCCTGCCCCTCGTCCTGGGGTTTTGTCGTCCCCTCCCTCCTTCTTTTACCCCCTTCTCCCCCTCCAGCTGATGAGGAGTGTGCAGTTGCCTTCTTTGCTTTTTGGGAAAACTACAGAGGAAAAAGGGCTTCTCTGTGTCTGGGTACGTGCGAGATGGACACCCACCCTTTTTCTGGCCAGCCCAGGCCAAAAGAGAGCGAGAGAGAAAAGAATTGCATTTTGTATAATTGTCAGTTGCTATATACACAACACCTTCAAGTGTTATTTTGATTCTTAGCATGTTGACTATCTTCATCTTTTGGAGAGAAAAGGGGGGCATGACAGAATAAACACAGCAGGAACTAATTTCGTTTTTTTTCCTCTGCAGACACAAAACCTCTTTTCCAACTCTGAGCAAGCCTTGAGCGACAAACTCTTCGCAAATGCTGGGGGTGCCCTTGTATGCTGGGGAGGGGGGGCTTGATGCTCTGACACCTAGGACTTGAGTGGGGCGTTGCTTAGTGTCGTAGCCCCCAATTTGTGAAGCCATATCCTTGGGCCTAAACTCAGCTAGATCACAGCGGGATCCATTACAGCTGGGTCTCTTGTTAACTTGGTCAGTGTGGCTGGCTGGGATTTGGAAAAGCAGCTTAAGGCAGAGTCGGTGCCACCAGGGCGGCTTCGGAGGGGTGCGTATTGGGGAAGAGAGGGGTGAAAACTCCAGCCAAGGACGGGAGGCAGGATCAGACAGGTGCGCTTCGCTTTCTGATCTTAGTGGCCTCGATCTTAAGGGCCTTCCAGGAGGTGCTGCTGCTGGCTTAGGGTGGGAGGGCGGGTCGTGCGTCTTTTTCATCAGCTTAGAAACTCTGGCTTGGAAGGTGGCTGCGTGAGAGGTGGGTTTTCAGACTGCACCCCCATGCCCTTACGGACTCGGCAGTCCTGCAGGGTGGGCCCTCATGCCTCTCTGTGCAACCTGTTCAGATTGTAATGAGCCAATCCCGCTTCTGTCTGTGACGCCCCACAGCAGCATATCTGGTTTCTTTCTTAAATAGTTCTATAATCAGAAATGAATGTTTTATTGAAGTTAGAAACAACTATTCTGTTACAATTCCTCTTTGCTTTTTTTTTCCTTTATTTTTGGTCCACTTGACAAAGAAAATAAGTTAACACTGAACACTCCATATTATATTTAATATACATATATTTATAATATGTATGTACACACAGTTAGCACGGTCTGAGCATCAGGGTTGGGGAAGTTGGGGGGAAAGTGGAGAGCTGGCAGCAGAGGACAGGACTTGTGCCTTTACTTCCCTTCCGTCGCTCCTGGGAGCTGCAAGTCCCTGGGAGGACCCATCCAGCTGCAACCGTTGCGCTGTTCGTCAGGTGCGGAATACGGCTGGGGGTGATTCTTGGGAGGTGGGCAAAGCTAACTGGCCAAGCTGGCCTGGGTCAAGGGGATTTGATGGCTGGGGCTCACTAGGTCACAGGGTGGGAGCGGGCTCTGGGCTCTGCTGCAATTGGGGGGGCGGTGTCTGTGCGTGCATCTATCGAGGGGCATCGTGAAGCCACCGAATGGTCCCGGGGGAGTGCTGTTCTGCTGTGCCCCCCCTTCCAGTCTCCAAAAACCTCCCCTCCGGGACAAGAGCGTGTTGGGAAGCCTTTGCAAGGCGCAACTTCCAAAGAGAGACCTGAGCTAAGAAAGTGCTTCTGGCACAGCAGTGCAGACGAGCCAGTTTTAAGCGGATAGAGGTTTTAAAGCTGCTTTGCTCTTCATTTTGTTTTGAGAAATTCGCTCACTCCCCCCTCCCGCCCCCCCAGAATACTATTTTTACTTGGTGCTAATTTGCAGTGAGATCAGCACCAACTGTTAGCTGTAAACACTAGAAGAGGAAAATACTAATTTAAGGCCAGTTAAGACAAAGATGAACCTTCCATGTTGGCCCTGGGTGATGGAGAACAGCCCGGGCGATGCAGGCTGAACCCGTGGCTGCCCCTGGGGTGCTGCAGAGCCTTGGCGAAGGGTGAAGCCTCTGTGGGAAGGCTTGACCCACGCGGGTGTGGCTTGCCAGAGGGGGACTTTGGGGGGGCTGGGGCTGGGTCTGCTCTGCTCCCACCCTGTGGTATGTGGCTGGCAGAGCTTGGTTGCTTCCTCCAACTCCCATCTCTTGCAGACTTTGCCTGCTACAACACAACACGCTTGAAGACAGACTGTTGGTAACGCGGGAGATGTAAGAAGTCTAGCTAGATACTGAACGAAGCACGTCCCAGAGCTTGAATCCTCCTCCTCCTCCTCCTCCTCCTCCTCCTCCTCCCTCTTGGAAGGGCACCTGTCCTTTCTGCCAGCTCTTTCCAACAGTCGTGGCGCTGCACGTGGCCCTGGAGGCTGTGCGTGGTGGACAGATGGGGAAGGAGCAGCGGGAGACACTGAGGTGGCCTTGACGGGACACCCTGTTAAAAGCACAGTCTAGCCCAGCTCTCGCTACGCAACACAAAGAACACAACACCAGTGTCAGGGAAAGGTTACGCCGTTTTAAGGGGCTCGGGAAGCCAAGATGCGCAGATGTCGGGACTAAACCAAAATATATTAAACAGAAATCCTTAGCAGTCCGGCGCGAGAGCCGTTTCCCTAAGACTCCGAGCTCTCTCCGTCCCCAGCAGGCCAGCGCAGGGAGCCAGAAGCTCTTCGATGCTGGAGGAGCCAGAAGCGCAGCCCAAGTAGCCCAGCCTCTGGCACGCCATCCCCGCAACCGCCAGTCCGTGTCCGTGACCTCCAGCGGGGTGGGGAGACGACAAATCAGCCCTCCTCCTCGTCGATGGCTGCTTGGCGCTTCTCACCTGGGTGCGCTCAGTGCCTCCTGTTCGTGTGCCAGGAGACAACGCGGGAGGCTGGAGCTCCTTGGTCTCTTTCTGAGCGGAGGCGGGCGTGCAAGCCGCTGGCGGGCGTCCACATGTGCGAGGGCCACGCTGTTGCCATTTCGAGGGCAGCGCAGGGAGGCAGCCCGGCAAGGGGGTGGGAGCTGAGTCTGCCACCCCAAACCTCAAGGGCTGCCAGAGTTCAGTCTGGGGCAGGATGGAGGTCAGCTGGGCCCCCTTCTGCATCCTGGGACCCCCCTCCCGGGGGGCTCCAGCCCCCCAGTGGGGAGGGGCTGGTTTCAAGGGGGTGGGAGGTGCATCGGAGGGGGCTGCTCCTTCCCCCAACCCGCCATGTGCAGGGGCAGCGCAGGGACTCCAGCAAGAGCCGTGACGGGCAACGTGGCTTAGACCTTGTGTGCAAGCGTGGCCAGATGGGCAGCTTACCCTGCCCCCCACCAGAGGCACAGGAAGGGAGTAGAAAAGGAGGCACCCGTGGGAACGCCTGGAGAGGCCACCGGGGTCGGGAACCCAGGGAAGGCACCTTGTGGACGGGGGGGGGGGGGGTCTGTGGCGGGGCACCCTGACTGCAGTTCTGCTCCCCTGCTTTCAGGGCCCTGGGCCAGCTGGGAAGGAGCAGACGCCCCCATCTGACCGCCCTTTGAGACCTTTCGTGTCCACCCATCTCCTGCTCCCTTTGTCCTTTGCTCGGTCCCTCCTCTGCTTCCCATGCCAGCTTCCTGCACCCCCATGCGCTCTTGGAAGAGCCGTCTGCACCCCTATCCTCCCGTCCCCTGAAAAGAGGGGCTCTGTGCCTGGGTTACGAGTGGGGTGCCACAGCCCTCCAGCTCCCTCCCCCAAGGGCTTTCTAAAGTCACAGCTTTGCCAAGCAACCACAGCCTTCACTGACTCCTACAGGGCGCTGGGTACGTGTGGGGGGGCAGGGGGTCTCTTGCAGGGTTTCCTGCAGAAAATCCTGGGGTCCCTGGCAAGGGATGGTGACAAAGCCTGCTAGAGGAGCAATATCCCCCCTTCAGCTCCTCCTTCCCCTTTGCTTCCCCCCGCACCCTTGTGGCAGAGGTGATGGGGAACTTGCTTGGGGGCAGACTGCCCGGCGTTCCTCTGGCACTACCCAGGGGCCCTCTCCACACACCCCCACCTGCTGCCTTCTCTCTCTCTCTCTCTCTCTGTCCCACTTCCTCTCTCCTTCTTCCCTTG